AAAAAAAAAAAAAAAAAAAAAAAAAAAAAAAAAAAAAAAAAAAAAAAAAAAAAACGTCTACGTTCTCCTTGCCAGCATGTACGTTCTCCTCGTCGGCGCTGCGAATCACGCAGCGGGCATGGGGCGCGGCGCACCTCGCGCGGGGGCGACTGCTCTTCAACATGGACCGTCGACGCTGCGGCCCGTCGGGTTGAGGAGCTGGGCGGGCATGCATCGCGCGCGCGGTTTTGTTTCTCGTCGACGTTGCTCAATACGCGGCGGGAGAAGGACGCAGCTCACGTCGCGCGCTGAACGTCTAGCCGCCCACGATATAAGATGAGCGACAGGCGTCGGACGCGACGCACTTGCTTCTTATGTTGTGGGAGGGCGGGTGGGAGTGGACGGAGCCTTCTGGCTCGTTCGAGCTGGCTAACATGTTCACTGTTCCTTATTAATAGACACCCCTCCCCCACGCTCTGCCCCCACCATCCCTCGCTGCTGTTTATATATATATATATATATACAAACAAAAAAATATGCCTCCAAATTCGGAGCATACACAGCGAAGCCGACGCGGCCTCCCCCCACCATCCCTGCCAAAAAAAACAATACAGAGTGCACTTGGCGGCGGCGGCGGGGGCGGCGCGGCTGCGGCGGCGGCGGCGGCGGCGACGGCGGCGGCGGCGGCTGCAGCGGCGGCGGCAGCGACTGCGGCGGCAGCGGATGCGGCGGCGGCGATTCGGCAGCGGGGGCGCGGTGGTGCGGCGGCGGCGGCGGCGGGCGGCGGCGCGGCGGCGACGGCGGCGGCGGCGGCGGCGGCGGCAGCGGTGGCGGCAGCGACTGCGACGGCAGCGCATGCGGCGGCGATTCGGCAGCGGGGGCGGCGGCGGCGGCGGCGCGGTGGCGGCGGCAGCGGACAGCGGCGGCGGCGGCGGCGGCGGCGCGGCCGCGGCGGCAGCCGCGGCGGCGGCGGCGGCGGAGGCGGACGCGCCCCCAGCAGCTGCCCCCATCCAAAGACGATTGTTGCATATGCTGCGGCTCGGGCCAGGCTCGGCGCCACGCATGCGCGGCGGGGGGGGGGGGGGGGAGGGGAAGCGGGCGGGCGCGAGCGAGAGGGTTTGCGGGAGGGGGAAGGGGAAGGGGGAGGGGGGGGGGAGCTCTTGACCCCGCCCCGCCCCGCCCCGCCCCCGCCCCCCCCCCCCGCCCCCCCCCCCCCCCCCCCCCCGCCCAACCCCCCACCCCCAGCGCGCCCGCTGCGTGGAAAGGGGCGGCCTCCAGCTCGCCGCCCGTTCCCCGAGGCGCGGCCCCCCGCCCGCGCCACTCGTCAACCCCATATTTCTCTGGCACCAGGTCGATGCCAGAAGATGCGAGATCTTTGGTCGAGCGTGCGCGATCAGGGTCGTCACCACAAGCTCGCGTTTTATCTGGTACTCGAGGATAGTGGGCAAGCGGGCTGAATCTGATGAGTGCTGCATTACTTCGGGATCTAAGAATATAAGACTGTGTCGCAACATCCTGCATTCATGCAAATGAAGAGCGCACGCGAAGAAACTGATCGCATTCATCAGCAGCCTGGGGATACTGCAGTTGAAACGGTCTAAGAATAGCTGAGACTATCCACCCCCGTGCCTCCCATCTCCTCCATCTTGCACGCGCGCATTGAGAAATCGTTGCCCAACTACCCCACGGAGTTTGCTGATCGAGCTGTTGTTCGTCTTCGCGCCCCTGGCGCCCACCCCCCTGTTTTGTTGCAGCCGCCTGCCTTAGAAGCCTTTTTTTTCAATGCGTGGAATGCGACCCGACCTTGCAGACGCGGCGCAGTTGGGTTCAGGCATGGGCGCCAAGCGATGGGAGGGGAGAGAGAACCTATTGCATTATCTGGGGCGCATCCGATCGCTGCGGGCGCCATGTGGAACAGCTGCCGATTTCTTCCAAACGAACGCGGACAAGACCCATAAGCGTCTTTCCTGCCCCGCCTCCTCCCCCAGTGTCTTGAAAGTTTCCTTTCCGCCTGCCTGGCCATCGACTGTCTGCGCTCCGCTGTTCAGCCCCTTCGTGCCCATGGCCCCCCTCCTTCCCCCAATCGCTCTATAGGCATCATCCGCGCGCGCGTTAGACCCCAAGCCCGCCGTTCGAAGGTTGCAGCAGGTCTGGCCCCGGGGCCGCGCTGGGCGGCCCAGGTGCGCCCCGCGAACGTGCCCGCTCTTGTGCATCCCCTCAATCGGCGGTGGACTTGGACCCCCTCCCCCCCCTGAACGCGGGTCGCCCCTCTCACCCGTCTTCCCCCTGATAGCTCAAAGAAATTCGGCATCGCTCGGACGCGCGTGTTTTTGTCGTCGAGATCCATCGAGGAGCATTGCCGTTCCCCTTGCGAATACATACGCGCAATGGGCCGAAAAAAAGGCACGGGAATGGACGACTGGGCGATGGCGAGGGAGCGCACTCGCACTTGGATTTTCAGGAAGCGTCCAGCGGTAGCATTGTTTCGAGGAGGATTTGATGGTAATCCGCATAGTTGTTGAGAGGCTTCAAGGTCTGGCCATAAGCATTGCGGAACTCGCAAACTTGAGCTCGATCGTGTGAACACGGAGTGGCATACAGCCATGCAAATGTTGCACAATGTCCGAGTATCGGTCACAGTTTTCGGGGTTCAAGCTAGAACCGCCTCATCTTTGTCAGCGGCGTAGGTATGTAAGGCAAGCGCGCGCGGCGCTACGGCTATAGAGCCCCAATGGATTTGCCATGCAGGCTCGCAAGTGTTGCAAGATCTCAAATCGAGAAAATGTGCACGGCACTATGGCAAAAGGCCTTGTTCTGACAACGACCAGTCTTCTATACTTGTACATGTTCCAGCTGTTAAGACCGATGTGGCGCTAATACGAGGGCCCAATGTTGAAAATCACCCGTCCCCCATCCGCGTGATTGGTCGAGCTGTTTAGGTTGGAGATTGTCTGGAAATCGAAGTGCCAAGCAAAACGCCCAGCGGGACAACGTCTAGTAGTGCGACAGGGGGAGTATTGAGGCAGAGGGATGTGGGAGCAGGATGGAAAGGCGAGTGGAGGAAGACGGACGAGGCGGAGGATGGCGAGGGAGCAGCAGGAACCGCAGTACCAGGGCGGAGGGAGAAGGATTGGCAGCAGGAGGTAGGAATGATGATGATGGTAATGATGGCGGTGATGGTGTTGATGTTGATGACGTTGATGATGATGATGATAGTGCATGGTGATGATGTTGATGATGGCGACGATAATGATGATAGTTCAAGGTGGTGGTAGTTGATGGTGGTTGTGATGGTGACAGTTACTGATGGTGGTGAAGATGCTGGTGATGATGGTGGTAACAATGATGGTAACGGTGATGATGATGATGATACTAATAGTGAGTAGTAATGGTAATGGTGGTGGTGATAGTTACTGATGATGGGTATGGTGATGATGATGGTGACGAGGATGATGATTATAACAGGAATGGCGTTGATGATGATACTATAACTAGTTAGTGATGGGTAAGGTGGTGATGATGATAACAATGGTGATGATGATGATGATGACACTGACGATAATGATAATGATGATGGCTCATGATGAGGATGGTGGTGATGCTGATAATGACGCTGATGATGATGAAGCTGATGATGATAGTAAGGAATGAAGACTGTTCGTGATGGTGATGCTGATGATGACGACGTTGATGATGATAGTTAGTATTGATGATAGTTAGTGGTGACGGTGGTGATGAAGATGATGATGACGACAGCTAATGATGATGATGGTGATCATGATAGTGATGATGATGGATACGCTGATGATAAGGTTGATGATGATGACGCTGTAAATGATGATCGTTAATGATGGTCATGGTGGTGATAGTGAGTAGTGATGATGGTGATAGTGGCGATGATAATAGCGATGATGATGATGACGCTGATGATTACCATAGTGGATGGTGGTGATGATGCTGATGATGGTGGCGATGATGATGATGATGATGATGATGATGATGTTGATGACGTTGATGATGACGTTACTTAATGATGGCGATGGTAGTTTCGATGGTTACGATGATGATCATGATGACGCTGATGATGATGGTGATGACGATGACGCTGATGATGATAGTTAATGATGTTGATAGTTCATGGTGATGGCGATGATGATAACACTGACGATGATGGTGTTGTGGACAGTTGATGATGATGTTGGTGATGATGATTACGGTGACGATGATGACGATGATGATGATGATGGTGACTCTGATGATGATGATGCTGATGATAGTTCATGGTGGTGATGGTGGTGATAGTTGATGATGATGGTGATGATGGTATGACGATGATGACGCTGATGTTGACAGTTCATGCAAGTGGATTTGAACGGTGATGATGACGCTGATGATGATGACGATGATGATGGTTAGCTAATGGTGATCATGATGGTGATAGCGATGATGATAGTAGCATTGATGATGATTACGATGATGACGCTGATTTTGATGATGATGACAGTTTGTGGTCATGGTGATAGTTTATGATGATATTGATGGTGATGATGATGATGGTGATGATGATGGTGATGGTGACGATGGTGATGATTATGCCTATGTTGACGATGATGTTTGATGAGGACGTGGATGATGATGATAAGGAGAAGGAGGAGGATAATCGATGATGTAGGTGACGATGGTGATGATCATGATGTCGGTGACGATGGTGATGACGATGATGATGATGATAATGATGATGATGATGTTGATGATGATGATGATGATGATGATGATGATGATGATGATGATGATGATGATGATGATGATGATGATGATGATGGTGGTGGTGGTGATGGTGGTGATGGTGATGAGGAGGAGGAGGAGGAGGAGGCGGAGGAGGAGGAGGACAACGAGGGAGCAGTGCTTTGATGCGGAGCAGGGCGAGGGCGAAGGGGCATCAGCAGCAGCAGAAGGAGGACGAAGAGGAGGGCGGGAGAAGGCCAGGTAGGGCAGAGCAAGAGGAGGACCTTATCCGCCGCAGCCATCCCAGCCCAAGCTCGTCCGCGCATCGCTGGCCGCGCCCCCGCGCCCGATCGTCTGCCCCGCGGATGGCCGTCTCTCTGGGGCCCTCCGCACTCGAAATGCGGGCTCATTATGAGGATCGGGCGGCCAACTATGCTCGTACACCGATCCTGGCCAGGCAAATCGTTAGCCCAGGATCGGTGAATGTGCTTCCCTGGCCAAGCCAGGAGGGCGTACGTATACACTGGACCTGGGCCAACGATGAGCCTGGTCAAGGCCGGCGTACATGTATAGTTGGCGACTCCCTAGAGGAGGGGCCAGATTGGCGGCTTGCGAGGCAGCGGGGGTCGAAGAGGGCGAAGCGGCGGCGTCCCCGGTCGATGGCCGGCTCCATTGCGGGAGGGGGAGACCGGATTCCCAGGTGTGGCGAGGAACAACAGCTCGACGGGTGTTTGTTCCCTACCTAGGCTCTGCCTAGAAGGGTTCTTACTCGGTAAACTTGAAGGGCCGGGCAGTGCAACTCGCCCCGGGCGGTTCCCCCAGTATCCGCCCCGCGGTTCCCCCAGTTACGTCCCCTTAGCTTAGCGTTGCTTATCTCACCTTAGCTTAGCTTATTTCATCTTAGCTTAGCTTAGCTTCATCTCATCTCAGGTTTAGCTCAGCTTAGCTTACCTTCATCTTAGCTTCGCTGAGCTTTAGCATAGCAGAGCACAGCATAGTATAGCATAACATAGCGCAGCATCGCATATCATAGCATGGGAGTAATTACCCAACATGTACATCACAGTGAAAAGCAAATGCTTCTCGATTGCTTCAGAATTTCGACACTCGTGCACCAAAGCAGGCCACAGCTGCTGCCGAAAAGTTGTCAGCTTCTTCGAGAGGAAAACGAAATCCTGTTGGAGAATGGTGTCCAGGGGCTTGGAGACGATTACTAAACGATATTGCCCTGGCTTCGAGGTGTGGCGGTTGAAGACCGCGCCGGCCGAGCTCAAAGAACGATTGCGAACACCATCCCGGCTCAGCCGTGCCAGTTTCGGATGCGCCAGTCCCGCTTGCATTTGTGTGTCATTGTTGTGAGTTCTCTTGTTTCCGATGCAGGGCCCCGAAGTGCCGGTGGTCTGTTGTAGTGGCCGATGCTGGCCAATTTTTCGAAGCCGCCAAAGCCGAGCAAGTAGCACATGCTGCAAACACAATCATGACGGAGGCACGGCGGCAATCAGGAGAGTCTACGGTATCTGTATTTCGTTCCCGGAAGAGGCAAGCGTACATGGGAGCGGACCCGGCCGCGAAGAGCACAGCTGCATAAAACATTCACATTCGACCAGTTGATTCCCTACCTAGGCTCTGCCTAGAAGGATTCTTACTCTCTGGGCTTAAAGGGCCGGGCAGTGGAAAGCGCCCCGGGCGGTTCCCCCAGTATCCGCCCCGCGGTTCCCCCAGTATCTCATCCAGCTCCTGGTCCTCCTGCCCCGGATCTGTGGGTGTATTTTGTGGCGCTCGTGTATGCCAACCGCGTTGCCAGTTTAGCTTCCTGTTCGGGTAATTAGCATGGGTGCAATTCCCTACCTAGGCTCTGCCTAGACGGTTAGCTTAGCTTAGCATGGCGCAGCGCTGCATTAGCATAGCATAGCATAGCATAACATAGCCAAGCATAGCATAGTATAGCATAGCATAGCATGGCGCAGCATAGCGTAGCATAGCATAGCGTAGCGCAGCTTAGCATAGCATAGCATAGTATAGCATAATGTAGCATAGCACAGTGCATCATGACATATCATAGCTTAGCATAGCATAGCATACCATAGCATAGCGCAGCATAGCATGGCATGGCATAGCATGGCATAGCGCAGCATAGCATGGCATGGCATAGCATAGCATAGCATAGCAACTAATGCTGCTTTCCTAGGGGCTCCAACTTCTAGGTAGGGTCGCACTGGGGTAATTTGTTTGTCATGTTCCCTCCGATCCGTTCGTCCTCTCCCTCGTCGTGGGTGTCATCGTGGGTGTCACCGTCGTCTCTGCTTGCTGCATCACTGCTTCACAGCGTGGGCCATTTTGACAACGCACATCTGTCGGTCACGCGCAGAGGGGGGTAAGGCGAGGCGGGAAGGCTTCTCAGAAGCACCCCTGCTTCTTAGAAGCCGCTGGTCTCCTCTATAGACGTAAGGCTGGGGCCTTTTAAGAAGAAGGATGTTTCTAAGTAGGCTTTCCCCCTCCCCCTACCCCCATTTGCGCGCCGCCAACTCTGGCGTGCACTGGTTTCTCTCTGCCGATGTTTCGTCAAGGCGCCAGGATCCTTGCTTCCTTATCCTCAGATCTGGGCGTCGTAAGGAAATAACCCCGAGCATTTTCCCCAGATCGGGCCCCTGTAATGTCACAGATTGGCCTAGCTCGAAGAGTGGTGCAGAACGATTGTGTCGGTAGCCCTACATAAGTGTTCTTTTGTTTTGATTGATCTATCCTCACGGATCTCAGGGTTGTGGTTTTCTGGGACCGCTACCAGGCACAGACCAGCCAGACCTTGCAGACACAATCCGCGGCAAGAAACCAGTCCCAGGGATGTGATCGAGTGTTCTCGATCACGTCGTCGAAGAACACGACGTCGGTGGTCTGGAAACCTCTCCGCCACCACCTTCTTACCTACGGCCCACTCGGGGTCCAGGTGTTTCCGTCAAGGTGGCCATGTCCGCGAAGGTTTGGGACCCCGTTCGGGCCTGTGTGATGGCTTTCATGGTAGTGAATACGTGCATTGCCCGTGAGCAACGAAAACGGGTTCTGCGGATTACCCAGCATTTCCCATTGTCCTCATGCCTTGAGCTCTAGCATAGGACTTGGCGGATGTTGCGGGCAGAATTGCCCAATAATGAGGATAGTCGCCGACCTTGTGTTTGCAAAGACGTGTCCTGGGATGACCAGTCACCGGGAGCTGCAGTTCCCCTCTCCCGCCCATCGTGGACAGCATCAAGGAGCTCGGGCAGGCGACGCAGTGGAGCGAGGCGCTGGAGGTGTTCAGAGACGTGGTGCCCTTCCTCGCCAGCACCATCGTGTATTCGGCCGCCATCAGCGCATGCGGGAGGGGGGAGCAGTGGCAGCGAGCGTTGTTGTTGGTCGCTGATCTGTGGGAGTCGAGCCTGGAGCCGAACGTCATCAGCTGCGGTGCCGGGATCAGCGCGTGCGAGAAGGGTGGAGCATGGCAGCACGCGCTAGCAGTGCTGAGGCAGATGGGGGCTGCAGGGTTGGAGCTGGATGAGGCCTGCTTCAGTGCTTGCGTCAGCGCGTGCGGCAAAGGCCAGCAGTGGACGCAAGCGTTGTCGCTGCTGCGTGAGATGCTGGCGACGAGATTAGAGCCAGGCGTCGTCAGCTACAGTGCTGGAATCAGCGCGTGCGAGAAGGCAGGGCGCTGGCAGCAGGCGCTGTCTCTGCTCGGCGAACTGCGGGGAACACGTCTGAAGCTCGACGTCATCTGCTACTCCTGATGCTCATGATCTGGTCTAGACCTCCTAGATGGGGTCGGAGTAGATGGGGTCGGAGGATCGCGCCGCATCGCCGATGTATCGCCGATGCGGCTCGATGTGCAGCCGATTTGCTTGACCTCGACGTCACCGATGCATCGCCGACGTCGGCCATGTATCGGCGATGCGGCGCGATCCTCCGACCCCATCTACTCCGAACCCATCTAGGAGGCCCCTTTCTGGAGAACCAGAAAGGCACAAACATAGTCTTCGCACGTCTGTGGACGACTCCTCCGCCAGCGCTGAGCCTCCTTCCCCACACGCCACGCGGCGGCGCCGAAGACGCTCAGAGGTACGGGGAGGGGGCCTGAGCGGAGAAACCGGCCGCGGACGTCAGAAGTCGATGTCTGTGTTGAGTTGTTGCTTTCTAGGTTGCTCTCCTTGCTGCTCGTGTTCCTCCTTCGTTCTGGTCTCCTGCTTCTCTTTCAGCTACAGCGCTGGCGTCAGCGCGTGTGAGAAAGGCGAGCGTTGGCTGCAGGCTTTGGTGCTGATCCGTCAGATGCGGGAGGAGCAGCTGAATTCTGATGATATCCTCCTCCCATTTCTGCCCTTCCTATTCACCCTTCCCCTTATTCCTCCCTTCTCGCCGTCTAATGCGTGAGTTCCTGAAGCCCCGGTGTTGTCTTCAGAACGCCTTCTTCTCATGAATCTTCTTCCTCCTTTTCATTCGCATTCCCGTTGGACGCCAGACCACATTCTTCTCTCCACCTTGGACGTCCTTACAAGATTTCTACGCGGATCCAGTCGTAGCGACGAGGGTCCAAAAAGGCTGGAGGCGTCCTTCCATCTCCCTCCTTCTGCTGCTCCTCTCCTTCCGCGGTGGCCTGTGGAGGTTCCGAGAGGCTTCAAGGGGTCCTTGGAAGCTTCCGTAGGCGTTCGAGAAAGAACAAGCAAGTATAGCATATTCCCTCCCCAGTCCAGACTCCGTCCTTCTCCCTCGCTCTTTCTTCCCCCTATTATCTACGAGTGTGCCTCTGCAGGTTTCCTGGGGTAACAAGACAAACCCCTGTCATGTATCGGCGTTGCTGGCCAGGTCGCTCTTGTGGGCTTCAGTGCAGAGCACGGTGTGTTTCAGCTTCGTCTTTGGTGTGTGTGTGTGTGCGTGTGTATGTGTGTGTGCGTGTCTGTGCGTGTGTTTGTGTGTGTTGTGTGTCTGTGTGTGTTTGTGTGTGCTTGCGTGTGGTTGTGTGTGCTTGTGTGTGCTTGTGTGGGCGTGTGTGTGCTTGTGCGGTTGTGCGTTTGTGTGTTTGTGTGTGTTGTGTGTGTGTGTGTGCTTGTGTGCTTGGGTGCTTGTGTGCTTATGTGTTTGTGTGTTTGTGCGTGTTTGTGCGTGTTGGTGTGCTGGTGTGTTTGTGTGCTTGTGTGCCTGTGTGCTTGTGTGCTTGTGTGTTTGTATTTTGTGTGTGCGTGTTTGTGTGATTGTGTGTGTGTTTGTGTGTGTGCTTGTGTGCTTGTTGTGTTGGTTGCATGTTTGTGTTCTGTAGGTTGTGTGTTATGTGTGTTATGTGTATTGTGTGTGCTGTGGTTTGCGTGCTTGCGTTTTTGCGTGTGTGCGTGTTTGCGTGTTTGCGTGTTTGTGTGTGTGTGTGTTTGTGTTTGTGTGTGTGTGTGTTTGTGTGTGCTTGTGTGTTTGTATGCTTGTGTGTTCGGTTGTGTGTGTTGTGTGTTCCTCTGTATGTTTGCGTGGTCAACAGGAGAGACCAAATCAGCCGTTATCATTTACGATGCCGCGATCAGCGCGTGCGAGAAGGCCGGGAGCTGGGAGCATGCACTTCTGTTACTCGGCGAGATGCGGACACGGAGCTGCATCCGGAGGCGGAACGTCGTCGTCGCCACCGCCGTCATCGTCGTCTCCGCGGCGGGGATTCATTCATATTCACCATTTGGGGGATCGATCTTTGGGGCCCTCGGCAGGCGACAGCTATTGATACATTCGGGCCCCTTGGAGCCAAGATACATTCATATCCACCGCCCGCTAGGGTTCTAGGACGTCAGTTCCACAGGTGGTGGTCATGGATATATCCCCGCCTCGCATCGTCGCCGTCGTGATCGATATTCGGAGAGGTGGATACTGTTTCAAAGTTTTTGGGCCATCTTGGGTTTCTGCATGTCGAGGTTCTCGCCGCCGCCATCGTCGTCATTTTCTGAGGGTTGTGGAGATTTCCGCCTTCTTGGGCCCTTGAAGGGCTCGCGTCCAAGCCTGCAAATCTTGATCCGTTCGCGCTCATGTTGTGGGGACCGCTTTTAGGCATGATTGAGGGGGTCGCGCTCATGCTTTTTGGGCCCGCTCCGTCGTCGTTGTGATCGCCGCCGTCGATGTGGCAAGTTTGAGGCCGAGCATCGTGAGCTACAGCGCCGGGATCTCCGCCTGCGAGAAGGGGGGGCAGTGGCAGAAGGCTCGGCGAATCGTCCAAGGGTGATTTTCATGCTTTCGTTTCCTCGTTGGGCCTCGAGGAGGAGGAGGAGGAAGAAGAGGAGGGAAGGGGGGGACGGAGGATCGAGGATCGAGGATCGACGTTCGAGGTCTTGCACGTTGTTGGTCCTTTTTTGAACCTCGTGGGGGCCTTCGTGGCCACAGCAGGAGGAGGCTCGAACGGTTGGTCAGGGTGGTGCCTCGGATGGGTATACGGGGGGCGATAGTGGGATCCAAAATTTGATTTTGGATGCACGCAAATGAGGGCAGGGTCGTGAGTGGGCGGCCCTCTAAGAAGCCTTTTCCACCTTGCAGAATGCTCGAGGCTCTCTCTGGACAATCCCCTGCCCTGCTTGAAGGCTGCACCTTTCTCCATGCCCCATGCTCCCTTTTGCACACCGCTAGAAGGCGCTGTCGCTCATGCTCGAGCTGATGGAAATGCACCTGGAGCCGAACGTTATCAGCTACAGCGCCGGAATCAGCGCTTGCGCGAAGGGGGAGCAATGGCAGCATGCCCTGTCGCTGCTCAGGGAAGTCGGGACAGTGAAAGTGGAGCCGAACGCTAAAGTAATTGTCCGGTCGCGCAATGCGCAACCAAGTGTGCCCAAAGTGCCAGCGTTTTGGGATGGCATTCTCGACGCCATGATCCAGTACAGTCGCCTTCTGCGGCTGGCGCCCATTCGGCAAGGATGGAGCTTTGCAAGTGTAAGTACCCTCTCGTCCTGAGGTGTTTCACCGCGCGTCGCTGATATGGTTGTAGATCCTGGGCCCGCGGGTCGTTGAAAGTGCTGATGCTTGATCGCGTGTCAAATCGGGCGCCCAATGGTCGTGGACCCTTACAGTGTATCCTGATGACGCTCAGCGAATGTAACGTAGTGTCAAAGGTCTCGTCGAAGGACGGTGTGTCTTGCCTGGACGTATTTACCTGAAGCGATGTTCCCCGTATCTTAAGTGGTGGTCTTGTTTTCTCCGGACACCCCGTGCTGGAACCAACAGGGAAACACGCACACACACACACACACACACACGCACACACACACATCAACAACAACAGCATCATCGCCATCGTCATCCTTATCATCATCGCCACCAGCTGCATCATCCTGTTCATAAGCACCAGCATCGTCATTACCATCACCAGCATCATCATCATCGTCATCGGCATCGTCATCAGCATCAGCATCATCATCATCGAGCTGCCGTTTTGCCTACATTATTCTAGCAGCTCGGCGGTTGTTCTACCTGCTCGGGCGGGCTGAACATCCCAACGGCCAACACTACGAATCATGATGCCGTAGCATCGAAGACGAGGTTCGATGACGTGGCCGCTCACGTCAGGTGGAGTCGGTGCTGACGGATGTAAGTTGCGATGTAAGCCGGCTTGGGTGCGCAAGTCCGAGGACGTGACTAACGAGGGGTACGTCTCGTTCTACACATTCTTGTCCAACGATTGGGAGGACCACTTGGCCCTGAAGCATCTCAGCGCACAGGGCAAATTGGAGTTCCGCGCGCTGCTCTTCGCGCACCGCCGGACACCTGTGACCATATGAGTCCAAGAGGAAGCGCAACAACATGAAGCTGTACGTGCGACGCGTCTTCATCTTGGACGACTGAGACGAGCTTATGCCCGAATGGTTCAAATTCTTGAAGGGTGCGGTTGGTTCCGAAGATCTGCAGCTGGGCATCGCCCGTGAGACGCTGCAGCCGAACAAGATCCTGCGCGGGATCAACAACAACCTTGTCAAGAAGTGTTTCGAGATGTTCGCGGGGATGACCGAGAAGAAAGAGGACTACAAGAAGCGGTACGAGCAGCTTGGGAAACGCCGCAAGCTGGGCACGCGCGAGGATTCCACAAACCGCATCAAGGTCGCGGAGTTCATGCGCTACCGCACCTCGAAGTCTGGAGATGAGACGATCAGCCTGAAGAAGTAGGACATCGGCCACGCGAAAGAGGGGCAGAACGACATCTACTACATCATGCGGGAGAGCATCGCAGCGGCGTCGTCCTCGCCGTTATCGGAAATGCTGCGTAAGGAGGGTCTTGATGTCTTCTAGAGCCAATCTTGTTTGGCTTAGCTGGCGCACTGTTTGCCTCGCGCGGCGCAAGTGGCGCCTCGAGGTTAGTCCACGAGGGCCCCGAGCGCCCGATCCTCTCCTGGAAACCTCCGGGCCCCGCGGGAGGGGCCGCGCTCGGGGGGGGGCAGCGCCGCGGAGCCCCGCTGCCCCGATGTTGCACATGCCCACGCGGTCTTTTAAGACGCGGTTCGTTGACCCGAGGCTTGCCGCGGCCCACTGACCCGGGTTTTAGGGCTTGCAATTTATCGCACTGCTTTCATGCTGTCTTGGGAGCCCACATGGGCGTTGAACGACTGACATCATCACCGCCATCTTCATCAGCGCCATCACCATCACCATTGCACACGCGCGCGCATTCCACACACACACACACACACACGCACACGCACACATTAACACGCCCCCACAGCCCACAATCGCTCACACACTCAATTACGCATTCACACGCACTCAAATTGAGCGGGCGCCTCGCCCGCGAGTGAATCGCGAGGAAGTTGAGCTGCAGGCCCCCCCCAAAGGGGCCCCCGACTCAAGATGGCAACCCGAGCGGGCCACCGGCGCGGCGTAGCCGGCGCAACATTGAAGCGCGCCAAGGAGCTAAGTCGCGGCGCCCCATGCCCGAACGAATCGCGAGGAACCTCCGAGCGGGAGCCCCCTACCTGCAGGGCCCCCGCCTCGCGCTGGCAATCCGAGCAGGCGATCGGCGCGGCGCGGCAGGCGCGGCGCCGGCTCGCTCCGGGAGGGAGGGCGAGCCGCGAGGCTTCAGTTGCGAGGAGAGGAAATCACGGGCCCTCAGGGGGCCCTCACCTCACGCGGGCTGTCGGAGCGGGGCGCCCGCCCCGCAGGCGCGCAAGCAAGCAAGCAAGCAAAATGCTGAGTACGAAACGCACATGAGCACATAGCCACTACCACGTGGTATCGCAGTACTTGCTGACTGCGACACGCCACGCAGGCGCGCATCGCAGAGAAATGTCGTGCGGGGGCCTCGTCTGCGGATGGGTCGCGGGGAGGTCTCGAGCGGCGGCCCTCCCCCGCGGCGGCCCTCCCCGCGCGGGGCCCCGGCCCCCCGCTGGCAACCCGAGGCGGGCCACCCGCGCAGCGCGGCACGCGCACGGCGCTCGAGCGCCTCGAGGGGGCAAGTCGCGGGGAACACCTCGAGCGCCTCGAGGAGCAGGAGCTTCATCAGCGGGCGAAGCGCGAGGGAGTCTCGGGCGAGGGCTGCCCCCTCACGGGGCGCGCGCCTCGCGCCGCCGATCCGAGCGGGCCATCGACGCCGCGCAGCAGGCGCGGCACTTGAGCGCCCCGAGGGGGCAAGTCGCGGAATGCATCCTCGAGCTGGAGCCTCGCCTGCGAGCGAGTCGCGAGGAAGTCGCGAGCAGCAGCTCTCTCTCTCTCTCTCTCTCTCTCTGTCTCTCTCTCTCTCTCTCTCTCTCTCTCTATTTCTATTTCTCTCTCTCGTTGTGTTTGTTCTCTTTTTGTTTCTCTTTCTCTCTCTCTCTCTCTCTCTCTCTGTTCTCTCTCTCTCTCTCTCTTTCTCTCTCTCTCTCTCTCTCTCTCTCTCTCTCTCTCTCTTTCTTTCTCTCTCTATACATATATATATGTATGTGTATATATATATATATATATATATATGTATTCCTCTGTGTGTTATTTATACCTCTCTGCTTCTCTCTCTCTCTCTCTCTCTCTCTCTTATGTTTGCTTGTTTTCTCTTGTGTATTTCTCTCTATATATATGTATATATATATATATATTTATATATATGTTTATATGTTTCTCTCTCTCTCTCTCCCTCCCTCTCTCTCTCTCTATCTGTCCGTTTTCTTCTCTCTTGGTTTTGTTATATATGTCTCTCTTTCTCTCTCTCTCTCTTTCTCTTTCTCTTTCTCTCTCTCTCTCTCTCTCTCTCTTTCTCCCTTTCCTTTTTTATGTGTCTCTCTCTCTTTCTCTCTCTCCTTTCTCTCTCTCTCTCTCTCTCTCTCTCCCTCTCTCTCTCTCTCTCTCTCTCTCTCCTTTGTCTCTCTCTCTCTCTCTCTCTCCCTCTCTCTCTCTGTATCTCTCTCTCTCTCTCTCTCTCTCTTTATTTCTCTCTCTCTCTCTCTCCCTCTACGGGGCCCCGCCCCGCGCTGGTAATCCGAGCGGCAATCGGCGCGGGGCGGCAGGCGCGGCACTCGAGCGCCCCGAGGGAGCAAATCGCGGGAAGGTCTGGAGCGGGGGCCTCGTTTGAGCAAGACGCGGGGCCCCCGCCTCACGTCAGTTATCCAATCGATAACATTCATTCCCGCCTGCGTCGCGCCGTCGCCCATCCGCCCGCCGCCGCGGGCGTTTGACTCAAGCCGTCTTTGCACCTCAAACGAAGCGACGCGCGAACCTGGCCGCGGAGCGCCGGCCGCGCTTCGCAGGCGGCCGAAGAGGGCCGCCGCCGCGTCG